GTGGGGTCTGAAGAGGTGGGTGGGGCCTGAAGAGGTGGGTGGGGCCTGAGGAGGGGGTGTCTGTCCATGTGTGGGACTCTGCCTCCAGTGTCAGAGGCCTGGAACAGACTTAACCTGAGCTGGGGGAACAGAGAAAACAGTCAGTAGCAGTACACGCCCCCATGTCTCCAGCTTCCAGAACTTTCTCATCTCAACCTGTCCCAGTAGAAGCACGGATGAACTGAGTGCCTACTGCATCCCTCATGTAAGACATTTTCAGTCCCTGGTTTGTGGTTGTGACAGATCCTTCCAGCCCTATATGACCCCATGTTCTGTGTCTTATGCCAGGACTGACATAGAGATGACACCAATGGGTACAGTGCCTTGATGGCTCTGATGAAGGCCCATGACCTCTAATGGGAGAAGGTAGCTGTCCATCTGACCCACCAGAGCCCTGAAACAACACACTACAGCTAGCAGCGTTAGAACCCTGCAAACCACACAGAGAACAGTTGGGGGGATATGGCCGGAAATATTTATAAGCATTGCCATATGGTTCTCTGCCAAAACTCTGATTATTAATGGCTTGTTAATTACCACAGGGGCAATCAGGACGAGATGGCTACCCGGTAATTGACATTTATTTTTTTGTTCTATCTCTGCCTCCTCCTTTTAATCGGACACTGTCCTCCTGAACCTTGACTGAACTGTCTCACTCCACCTTCCTCCTCCTGCACTCCTCAGTAGCTGGGCTGGTTCCTTCTATGGAAGGATCAGTGTGCACTCTGGGCAGACCCTGACCTCACAGCTTCCCTGAGTTGCCTCCCAGGCAAAGCAAAGAGCCTTCCAAAAAGCATCTGTCCTTCCAGCCCAGTGTACCTGCTGAGCCTTGAGGCTGGCCCTGGCTTGGCCATATCCTCCTGGAAGACACTACTGTACCTCTACCTAGAGGCAGGGACTCCCTGCGATCTTCCCACTCATATTCAGGGAGCCTTTATGGCATGAAAACTTTAAAAAAACAGTTAACTTGTATTTGGGGATTGATGTCCCTACCCAGACCAAATGAGTACCATATTAAAGACAAGGAGTTGAGGTACCCTGCTTCCATAGCAGCCTTGCCAAAGTTAAGGAAGATGACAGTAGCTTCCAGAAGTACTGATGCCCTGGAACACACAGGGACCAAGCCAGGTGTGGTAATGCATGGCTGAGGCAGGAGGACTACCACGAGTTTGAGGCCAGCCTGATCTACGTAGAGAGGGGAGAGGAAATTGGTAAGACCTGTAGACTAGAGCTCAGGGTATCCGTCAAATTCAAGGGTTTGTTCTGTGCCTTCAAAGGTAGGAGGATGCCAGGAGGGGGGTGCCAGCTGGTTCAGAGATCTATCTAGAGTCAGAACTGGCTGGCAATGGTGACAAAGTCCCCAGTCCTGCACATCGTGCATCTCAGAAAGCTAAGGAAGGCAGCCCATCCCTGAGTATCAGGGCTTGGTTCTACAGCTACAGTTCCATAGCTTGGTGAAGATGTACACCTTCTCAAGCCTTCTCCTCTGAGAATGAAACAATTAAGGCCTCAAACAAGTGTGGGAATTGATACTAAATGAGACCAAGAGGTGACAATTCTGCATAAAGGACAAAATGAGCAACCGAGAGCAACCCCTTTGGAGTCTCCTGGGTGGCTGAGACTCTTCCCCAACAGGAAGTCTCAGACCTCTTAGACTAGAGCACTGGGGCTCTACATGAAATGTAACATCAACAGAGCACACTGGGGTCAGATCCTTCCGGATCCCACAACCTCTTCCTGAATAGGAAGGAGTCAAGCCCTCACTCTCACTCCTGCACATGGCAGCAAGGGTCTTGGGGAGCCACAGGCTTTTGCTGGAATATGTCCCCACTTAGGTCATTACTAGCTTGGGAGGACTAGAATCCTTCTAGCAAAAACCTCTAAGTCCTAGGGGACTTGGAAAACATATCCACCTTCTTGAGGTTTCTCTTTAGGATACAGATTCTCCTCTGGGGCCCAGGGGGTGCATCCCAACAAGCCCAGTGTCGATTGGAAAATAATCATATATTTAAAAAAAAAATGTACCTGGCCCATCCAAGTTCCCAACCATCCTGGCTAGGAACAGCATGCTGCAGAGCCTTGCTGTCCTCTCCCACACCCTCACACCCCTACCCAGTCATGATCTCAGAGCACACACGGAGCTGCAGCTCCCTGCCATGGCCACCTGTATGGGAGAGAGAAACTTAACACACAGCACATGAGCTATCATGGAAGAACCAGATCCCAAACTCCAAGTCCCCTTCCCACCAATGAAGTTAAGCCCCTGCACTTGCAAGGCACAGCGGATTGTGGGAAGTCTCCGCTGCTTACTGTGAGCCACTGGCTGAGAGCATCAGAGCTATTGGCTGATGATGATAGAAGTCAGTTTTTCCCTGCATAAGGGGCAGGGACTTGTTCTAAACAGCTGCCAGTGGGTCTGTCCCCTGCAAAGGCCTCTCTGTCTGTGCCATCCCTGCTTTCTTCCCAGGTCTCGGGGAGGAGAGGGGATGGCAAGAGGCCAAGTGGGGTTAAGCAGCAGGTTTGAATCCATCTCTGCCACTGGCTGGCTGAGAAGCCTGGAGTTGGAGACCCCACCCCAAAGTGTCCCTGAACCTCAGGCTCCTTTCTGTCAGGAGAGACTGTTCAAAGTCCTTTCCTCAGGAAGCTGGGTCTCTGATGAATGGAGATCCACAAGGAGCACTCATGACAGGCAGGTCACAGCAGGCCAATGTATCTGATGGTCCATCTAAGGCACTGTGGTGTTTCAATGTGAAATGTAGGATATGACAGATACCTGGCCTCAAGCCTGGCCCACACAGGGGATCTTAGAATTCTGGGATGGGGTGGGATAAGGATTCGTGTGCCAAGAACTCGAGGGTCCCTATGTCCCGATGCAGGCAGCTCTCTGAGGAGGTCAGTGAAGGCCCAGCAGGCCAGCTGTCCCCACTTCCTGTTTGCAGGCCTGAAGCTACCAACCTGAGTTCATGAAACAGCTCCTCAGACCACTTTCCAGTGAGTGACAAGGGGGCCCAACAAATCCCCTAGAGAGCTGACATCACAGCCCGTGATCACTCTTTGCCAGCTGTTTCTATGTTTCACTACCTGAGCTGACCCACTGCTGGACTTGGGGCGCTCCTGTCACCCATGCCAGGAGCACACCCACTCACCCAGCTGTGTACCCTGAGCACTTAGTTCTCGTCCTGAATCTGGTCCTGCCACATGGGCTGTCCTTTTCCTGAGACTTATGTGGGGACGGGGCACCTGCTGCCAGAGAGAGAGCAGTCTCCACGAGGGAGAAGCTAGACTTCCTGGACTACTTCCTCCTGTGGTGTTTGAGTTCAGTTCCATTCTCTTGGGCTATGGAAAACAGAAGCACATGGGCCAGGCCAACAGCTCCCATGGGGTCAGCACAACTACCCAGTGTTATGCATTGTACATATAGTGGAATAGAACACTACACCACATCAGCCTATTCCTAACTGTGAGCAGTTACAGATTGACAGACAACTTTGATGTGGTACCGGAGGGTTGAACCCAGGGCTTCATGCATAATAGACAACTGCCGTACCATTGAGCCACAGCCCCATCCCAACATAAAGCTCATGTGTGCACACATACCTGCACAGGCTCACTCACCCTGCGTCAACATGTAGAGGCCAGAGATGGATTTCTGTTGTCTTCCCAATCAGTTCTACTGTACCCCCCCCAAAAAAAAATTATTTTTGAGACAGAGTCTCTCAATGAACCTAGAACTCTCCATTTTGGCTGGATTGTCTGGCCAGGAAACTCCAGGGATCTGCTTGTCTCTCCCCAACCCTCCAGGCCCCCAGTGCTGGCAATATCAATGCATGCCACCATGTCTGGCTTTCACTCAGGTGCTGCGGATCCAGACCCAGGTCCTCATGCTTTCCAATGAGTGCTTTATGTACTGAGCCATCGTCCAAGCCTGCCACAATAAGACTTTCAGGATGAGGACAGAGCTCCGCTTAGCTAGCACACATAAAGCTCTGGGTTCAATACCTCACACCCCATAAAACTTGGAGTGTTGATGCACACCTGTAATCCCAACTTTTGGGACATGGAGGCAAGCAGATCAGGAACTCAAAGTCATCTGTAGCTGCATATTGAAGTTGAGGTCAGCCTGGGCTACATGAAACTCTGGCTCTAAAACAATTAAGCATGATCTGAACAGATGGCTCGGCAGTTAAAAGTACTTGGGCTTGCTGAGGGCCCAGGTTTTGTTCCCAGCACCCATGGTGGCTCACAACCATGTTAACTCCAGATCCAGAGGATCCAATGCCCTCTTCTGACCTCCATGGACATCAGGCACCCATAAATGCATGCAGACAAAGCACTCATACACATAAAGTAAATCTAAAAAAAATTAAATATATAAATATTATTTAGAATAGGGCTGGAGAGATGGCTCAGCAGTTAAGAGCACTAGCTATTCTTCCAGAGATCCTGAGTTTAATTCCCAGCAACCATATGGTGGCTCACAACCACCTTGA